CCTGCATATACCCCAGTATTTGACAGTACTGCACTCAGCAATTTTGTATGTTCAGCCACTGGCAGCTGAAAACCAAACACCACATAGCAGTCAGACGGAAGGAGGAGCCCCTCAGAAGCCTGGCTGCTGATCCCGTGGAACCATTTCAGACTTTTTGGGTAACTATAAATGTTTTGAAATGCTCTAAACCCTAGTCCAACTGGGGGTGGTGGTGGTGGTGGTGGTGGTGTGTGTGTGTGTGTGTGTGTGTGTGTGTGAGAGAGAGAGATCTAAAACTACTTTTTCATTAGGTGAAAGCACTTTTGCTTGTGCCAATTATTTATCAGATGGATGAGCTGTGCCTCCATTGATTTATTCCTTACACTGCCTGGAGAGAAACAGTAAAGTTACCACTGCTTTGGGTTTCTGAAAACCCTGCATACCATGTTATCACAGACTACTGAGAAAGTCTTGCAACTTATGGACTCTGCCTATAATAGAATCAATTTAGAAATAATCTAAGAAAACTATTAAGCACATAATTAGTGTGCATGGGGCAGTGACCTGAAACACCTGTAGAACAGTTAGTTTATTCTTGCCTGTAAATAGTGTTCTCATAACAGAAAATCTGTTTGTCTGGAAAAAAAACTATTGGATTGACCATAACCATCAGCCCTCATGTAGGCAGATCACTGGTGAAATCTGACACCCAACTGCTCCCAGTAAGAGCCTACAAATTATGTCACAAGCCCAGTAAATGACTTTCAAAGCTTATCATCCTAAAATAACTCAACTGTATTTACAAAGAAGAGAATGATGTCTGGTTCTGTTCCACCCATTTCAGAGATTTGAAGACACAAGACGTGAGGATGAACTGGTTGTTCAAAGATTCTGGCTGCTGAACCTCTAATGAAAGGAGGAATGCCTGGAGGTCCTTCTTATGTAGGAGAGCCTACTGAACAGTGTCTACTCAGGAAATCATCACTCTCAAAAGATCTCAGTTATCTCCCCCAGACTGTAATCTTTGAGTTCAGTGGTTGGTACAGGAACCTTCTGAAACATACAGCACTGCCTGTTGAGAGGAGCTGGCATAGGCCCAATTCTCCAAAGGCCCAGTGCCAGAGAAGACAAGTACTGGCAGACAGAACTAGCCATACAGTAACTCCTCACTTAAAGTCGTCCCGGTTAACGTTGTTTCATTGTTACGTTGCTGATCAATTAGGGAACATGCTCGTTTAAAGTTGTGCAATGCTCCCTTTCTAATGTCGTTTGGCAGCCGCCTGCTTTGTCCACTGCTTACAGGAAGAGCAGCCCGGTGGAGCTAGCTGGTGGGTGGTTGGAACCAGGGTGGACCGACAGCCCCCCTATTAGCTCTCCCTATCAGCTCCCCACTCCCCTAAGTTCCCTGTGCAGCAACTGCCCAGCAGACTAGCAATTGCAGCTGTCCCTCCCCCCACTGCCACATGCTGCTCCTGCCCTCTGCCTTGGAGCTGGTCCCCGAGACTCCTGCTTGCTGTGTGTGGGGAAGGCAGAGGGGAGCTAATGTCAGGGTGTCCCCCTGCCCCTGCACTCCGCTTACCCCATCTTCCATAGAGCAGGGGGGACACGTGACAGAGGGAGCTTCCAGGCAGCAGCAGCTGCGGTCGGGTCTCAGCTTGCTGATCTAATTAACAAGGCAGTCTACTTCTGACCCCACTCTTCATACTTAAAGGGGAAATGCTTATCTCTCTCTCTTTCTCTCTCTCTCTCACACACACACACACACACACACACACACACACACAGGGTGTGTGTGTCTCTGTCTGCCCTCCCTCCTTTCCTGCTGCCTTGTACAGTAGAGTGTGAGAGTTAACCCTTGAGGGCTCAGCCAATTGCTAGTTCATCATTTAGCAGTAAGGCATTCCCTGGAAATATCCCACCCTCTGACTCCTCCACCTCAACCAAGCTTCACAATCATCATCACTGTGTACCAGTATTAAATTGTTTGTTTAAAACTTATACTCTGTGTGTGTGTATATATATAATATAGTCTTTTGTCTGGTGAAAAAAATTTCCCTGGAACCTAACCCTCTCATTTACATTAATTCTTATGGGAAAATTGGATTCGCTTAACATTATTTCGCTTAAAGTCACATTTTTCAGGAACATAACTACAAACGTTAAGTGAGGAGTTACTGTACTTGCCTGCTTCCAGACCACTCCCCCACCAAGATCTGTGGGTCAGGAGCCTGACAGAAAAGGAGGGAGGGTGGAGAAGGAGAGAGAGAGAGAGAGAATAAACAGGAAATGAATACCTGCAAATACAGGATCCAAAGACTTTCCCTGTGAACATGGGAAAAGAGATACTGTGAGCTGCTTCTGTCAGACCCTGGTAGAACTCTGGCTTTGTGATGCAGTTCATAAATGTATACCTGGGGAATAGTTGTGCACACAAACTTCTCACCAGTGAGCTGCCTCTATGAGTGTTGGTGTATGTAGTTCATCCAAAAGTTTACGCAGGAAAAATGGGTTGGCTGTGCATGAGAAAATCTTTTAAAGGTCCTAACTGGATCTGAAGCCTTCATTTCAGGCACTGCAAGTACCTGCTGTTTCACAGACAGAAAGAGGTCAATCAAGTCCTATACCAGCCAAATTACTGAACTTCTTGACAAAGACATCATCTTGAGAAAACCTGGAATCTTGGCAACAATAAGAAGATACATTTATTTCAATATTTCTGTTCTGAATTCTGTTGTTAACTAGTATTTTTAGAAGCGAAATGGATATTAGCTCAGAGAGAGATCCCTGATCCATCAACGTATCCAGATAAGCTTGAAATGTAGTCAAAATAATTTTATTTATCACCCCAGTAATGTAATATCTTTTCAAAAGGATAATGATATATGTGAATGAAATTCAACAACAGTGACCGCGATGGTGGGGCCACAATCCTTTTGTGGGTCTCTAGAGCTACTCTAAAATAGATAATAAAAATAACAATCCTTCCTTTTCTGCCTTTGAGCAGATGGTAGCTGGACCAAAACTCCTTACTTGGACATGACTAACATACCATGTATGTATCAACGGACAAAGTTCTTTATTAATGCTAATGAACCTAAAGCTTTGGCCTGAGATGTGGTACAATGCAGGACTGTTTTTATCTCCCTTAGTGTTTATTCTTACTATGGAATCTCTGGTCCAGCAATCATATTACCTGAATAAAAGTTAGGTGTAATGATCTATGGATAGCATTATATGCAGATGACACCTTACTTTTTGTGTTTATCTTTATGGTAGTCCCTCCTAAAGTACTGAAGCAACGACAACAATTATTTGGAACTATTTAAATTAAATGATGCCCCTTTTGCTATTCATTTAAATAAACATTTGCCTAACTGGAATTTCTTAAACCTGTCATTTTCTCAGTTAAACACCATTAACATGAACCCATATTAGCTACCTTTAAGTGCTTCTAGTATCTTTTCCAATTCTATTTAACAAAACTCCAGAATCATATATTAAAATATATTTGGACAGGTAACAAATTCAAAGGCAGTTTGGCCTTTCAAATTTAACGCTCTACTATGCAGCACAGCTGGATCCATCAGCTGACTGGCACAGAAATTGCCCCCCAAAACATAAGATCTCTACAGAACAACTACAAATCCCAGATATAGCATTTGAATATATTTCCCTTCTTCCATAGTCTAGGTTTATCCACTCTTTACCCACTCAGTAATTAACCTATTTACTCACCACCATGATTATTTGGACAATAATTTCCAAAACTATTTAATACCCTCCACTCCCTTTCCCTTTGTCTCCCTTTTGTAATAATCCACTGTTTCCTCTGGGAATCATATATCTTTGTATAGCAACTGAGACTTTTCGGATCTCACTAGATTAATCTAGTTGATTATATCAGAATCATCAGCTATGTTCCTTTGATCTATTAAAGACACAGTGGGCCAGATTCTAAACTGTCTTTCTCATACATTTCTTCCAATATTTCCAAATTCATATGCGTTTACAAGACAACAGTGCTTAAATGATCAGATAACTCTGAAGAAACAATATTTAATATATCTAATAATAGAGAAAGATTATCTAAAATCTATTAAATACTTTTGGAAACAATCATTCACATAAAAGATACTCAAACAACAGGGAGCTGGATGTTAAAATTCTTGCCAATATTCAGCCTAGACTTTGAGGAAAAGGTGGACATACTTCCAATCATCTGCAATAGGCTCCTTCATACTAATTTGATGGGATTGTACATTTATACAAATATTTTGGCAAATGTTCAAAATGCAAGCTAATGTGATTTTGGAATTTTCCTGTACAATTATGTTCATAGCTCAGCTAGGTGTTGACAGTGAGGTTTCACTAGAAAAAATGATTCCACCCCCTCAGTTTTCTGTATATACGTGTCAGACTATCTATTACTGCCCAATGGCAAAATCCCCATGTTCCTTCTGTAAGCATTTGTTTAAATAAAATAATGGATTAATTTCCTGCCCTAAATAATAAAAATAAACACATTATCTTGCTACATGGGCACCAATTACTGTTTTTACTAGTCTATTTGATTCATAGTAAGAATTTATGTTTTATTATTGTTTCTGTTGGCATATGAATATGTATTATATGCTTTTTTGTATTTATATTTCATACTTCCTTCAGTATGATTATATACTTTAGCACTTGCGTCTCTTTAGTACCATTGCTATTCCCTCACAAAAATGAGATCCTAATCTGCCACCCAATGTAACTTGATATACTGTTCAAGGATTTTAGTCTGGATTTGGAACTGTTTTTCATAAAAATTCCCTGCTGATATAGCAGGATCCTCTAAGAGAGGATACTAGTGTTCTATTACAATACAATGAAGGGAAAAATAATGATCCATAAAATTGCAATCATAGTTAGTTATTACTCAATACTTAACAGTCAAAAAACAGGTTATGATATAGTCCTGTAATGTAGACACAGCGAAAGGCGAAAGGAAAATTATTTGAGACTTGTTCATTGAGTATTACCTGACCAGTGTCCAGTGGTAGTGCCTGATCTGTCTGTGCATGTCTCACTTACAGGTCTAAAGACAGTCTCCCAGCCACCAGTAGCATAGCGCCAATTCTGAGACTCCAAAATGAGTGTTCGTTGTGTTCCATATGCAATCATGAAGCAATAGACAACATGATGAAGTTGACAGCCATAGCCACAGCCTTTGTTGATATTACACACAAGTTTCTTGGCTTTGCTGCAATCCTTGGGGTTCTATAAGTAAGGACGAAGAAGCACAGTTGAAGACAAGATATACACAAAGGCATATTTCTCTGAGTTAATAAGTGACAAGTGTCATAAATCACACACAAGTCATGCCAATATAGTACATCCCGCATTAAAATGAAGGAGCAAGCACCAGCTGAATGAAAATTGTTTGTGCATTCTCAGCAGTTAACATGAACAGTGATCACATATATTTCACTACTCCAATATAAAATAATACACCTTTAAGATATTAAATTATGTTTTCATTTCTAAGGCTGTCAGAATATGCTAACATTCAGTCTCAAGGCTCATATCCAAAATAGTTCTCAATGTAAGAATGCTCTTTCTTGATTTCCTCTGGCTCTTTTCCAACTTTGTTAGCACTATTTCAATGAACATGCATGAATTATTTAAAAAGAAAATTTCAGTCTGCCTAGAGAGTAAAACAAACACTTTATTAATAAACTATTTTCCAAACTAGCTTACTACAAACCAAGTATAAAACATACTACATGGCTAAACAAAGTGGTAAAAGTCAACGTTTTAAACTGGATTGTATTTTTGATAAACTTAAAATCCAGTTATTGAAATAGTCCAGCTCTGCACAAAAAAATTATGCACTGAAAGCTTGATAGAATAATTTTAAAACAATTTTCTGTACTTTTAAGAGATTATATCTTACATCATCTACATTAAAGGCTATTTATAGTATGTAATAATTTCTTATACAACTACTGAATTTAACTGCCATTAAATAAGTTATGCCAAGCACGTTTAAAATTATAGACCATTAAATACTTTTTGGGTTCATAAAGTCCGGATAAGATTTTTTTCTGTCAAAGTTTTGTTCTTTGCTGTATCCATTGTTACTTACATATTCCCAGACATCTTTTTTCCATAAATATAATTTGTATATGAAATATTTAGTATGAGAAGTTATTTTGGGTTGTTTAACTGCAATAGGGGAGTAACTCTGTGCACCAATACAACCATATATTTTTCCCTTTCCTATCCAACACTCTATAATGGATTTTTCCCTATCCACTCTTGGAAATAGATAAACCCTTTGCTGAGAGGAGGCTAAATATCACCCTCCCTCCTGAGAACTATTCAGAATTATCTGCCTCTACAGCTGCACTCAGATCTCTATTTCTTAAGAGTACTTCAATCTATTTTATTTGGCTTTCCCGCTAATTTTTCCCAAAACAATCCATTCAAATTTGACCTTTTGACATTTTGGCTCAAAATAATGTTAGGAAGGGCAGATTGTCTGAAGCCAAGCATTTAAGGGACCTGGTGTAGATAGCTTATCCTTATGAGGTTGCTTTGTCTAGAGAACCCAAGTTTGACAGTTACTCGAGCAGTTGGGCACAGGCTTAGACTCCATACCTGCTATGTCATGGCCATCTGAAGCATCACAGGGAGATTGAGCCTGTCCCTGGGCTTCTCTTTTGCTTGCTCTTCACCTACTTCATTGTTTTCTCTGCCTAATGGTTATGTGAAGGAAGAGGAGCATGCCAAAGAGTTAATGCAGCATTTAAAGACTCCGGGAGAGAAGCTCTGTGGTGACCCTTAGATAAGGCTGTACATACCAAGCATTATAAATTCTTAGATATTAAAAGCACATTTTATGGCTGCCTAATGATTTGATTCATAATTTCAGGAGGCATTACTTTGTACAAATATCTCTTCTTAGCACAGTAGACCATCTTTCCATTAAGAATGGAAATCTTTACATTAAGAATGCTACCACACATTCTATTTTTATTGTAAATTTAATGGATTTACATACATTTAAAAAATTCTATTTATAATTTTTTTTGTATATTTTTGTCAATTTACTTTCCTTCGCATAACTGATTAGTTGTTGATTTCATGCTGATTTCTTCCAAAAAATTTTTAAAAGCCCTCTTAAAATTGGGATGAATGCCTTAAGAGTGTGTATTTCTTTCTGCTCATAAGAATTCTCACAGAGCTTATTCAGGATCAATAGTTTTAAGTTATCCTTTAAGTATGTTAATGTTTATGTTTTCAAAAGAGCATTTTATACTAGCTCTCTGTTAGACCTCAAAGCAATGCAGTGTAGTTAAAAAGGATATGATTAACTCAATTTGTTTAATAACTTTTACAACTAGTATGTTAGATACACCTCTACCCCCATATAACGCGACCCGATATAACACGAATTCGGATATAACGTGGTAAAGCAGTGCTTCGGGGGGGGCGGGGCTGCGCACTCCGGTGGATCAAAGCAAGTTCGATATAACGCGGTTTCAACTATAACGCGATAAGATTTTTTGGCTCCCCAGGACAGCGTTATATCGAGGTAGAGGTGTACATAGTTACTAATTCCCAAACTGTGATTGAATAAACAGTACTAAACACATATATATGCACCACTGTATCACTTTACTGGTGGGCTGAGGGCCCTGTTCATGCACCAGTAAAAGAGTGGGCCTGATTCTCTTCTTTCTTACACAGATTTTACACCACGGTAACTCCATTTATTCCAACTGAGTCACTCCAGAATCAGGCCCAGTATTTGCTGCTCCTTAGTTTACTAAGTAAAAATAATTTTTCTTCCTTCTGTTTCTGAAAATGAAATCCAGAATTTGAAGGCAGTTATCACCTTAGAATTTAAGTACATAGGCATGGATCATTACAGTATCAAGGAGGTAAGCTTTAAGTCAACTTACAGCTTGCAAACAGTTTCCATTGTAGATTTCAAAGGCAAGGGTGTAGCCATTGATATGTTCAAATAATTTAGTAAAATTGCAATAAAAATGTACTGTAGATAGCTACTTTTCTATTGTTTGATCAACCTTCTTTTCATCCATGTTTCTAAATTTATCCACCCATAAAGTTTTATACTTAAACATTCATTTTTTCTTCTCACGTCACAAACAGAAATATATAAAAACATATACTTACATATACACAGAAACACACAGATAGTTTTTTCTTATACATATTAATTTTTCTGTTTTAACTGATGTTATGCTCTTTGGATCAGATTCAGCCCTTGACAAATGTGTAGACTTAAGCCTGGGCTGAATATTTGGCACAACGTATACAATTTATAATATCAAAATAACATTGCTCAAGGAATTGTGGTTTTCCCTTTCACAGGAAGGGGACTGACTACATATCTCAAGCTTCAACAACCTAAAAATAATAAAGTGACTTAGCTAAAAAAGGAAGAAAAGTTTCCACTTATTATTGGGGTTTGCAGTTGCTTATAAACTGCTTGAGTAACTATATCAACAGAATACTTCAAACAAATTACAGATGTATAATGCCATAACAAATACTGTTGTTAATGAGTTGTAGTTTATATTTATTTTATTTCCGAGGTATGCAGAAAAACATCAATCATATAGCATTCTTAGCTCCAGCAAGCTCATGTAACAAATGATTAACTTGAATTATATAAAAATAGCCAACCAACAAAGCAGGTAGGTTGTCTGCCAGCTGCTATTACATAGAGTAACAGAAGTCATTAATGTAATAATTACAAATTACCAGACAACAGATGGATTCTTTGCTGATCCTTTCATTTTAGTTGGTTCCCTTTTCTTTTTCCTACTTACAGGCTTTCCTTCTTTTTGTCTGTTCACTGAGAGCTACACTTTCACCACCCTACCTCATCCCATTTCCTTCTCTTTCTTTGAAGGTTTACTATATTAATTAATTCAGTTTATTTAGGATAGATTGGTTAATAGATGGCTTGCAGAATGTTGTTGGAGTTAGAGACAGATCAACTTACCATTTTTTTTTGGCAGGGGGGGAGAAGGGGAATGAAAATTTCAAAATACAGTAAAATTTCCCTTCCCTTTTGAAAATCCAGCTTTGTAATACAATTAAAACATAAAAAAGAAATGAGTAAACTTTGCAAAGTGTTGTCTGCAAAAGCTCAGGTGACAATTGAAATGAGTTTTGAGATAAATTAAAACTTTACCAGGCACCAGAGTATTACTTATGTTACTCTCCTGACAAATGCCCATATTTTCATAGGAATAGGTAGCATTTTATAACCCATTTGTCTAGTCAGGCTATTCTAAACATAAAACAAAATTCCCAATGGCACTGAATCCTCCATAATACATCACAAATATTTTTACTCTCATTTTATTCCCTTTCCTTGCTGCTGGTGGATGACTGAACTCCCTAATGTACAATGTAAGTGTACTCTATGTACAAGCCAACAGGACATATTTCACAGTAATGTCACAAACCACTACTGTTTTGGCAATATAAAGTACAGCCCCAAAGTATTTAGTTTATGGTGTGAGATCAGGTTAGTAGCACAACACTATAGTGGGTGGCAGATCTATAGCTGACCTTAAGTCAAGTAAATAAAGCCCAAATAGTGTTTGAAACATAGTTGGTTAGAATCACTCTCAAATATACAGACATAGGGTTCAAGTCACTGTCAGAAGAACCATGGTTACTGGCCCCCAGCTGTGGAAAGTCCATCTGAAAGGGACATGGGTAATACAGTACAATTCACCAGGAACTCCTCTTCCTTTGGGTCTTGTCCAGTGCACTCAAAAAGTCAGTGGGGTCAGCGGGGGAAGTTGCCAAAAGAGCCACTGGCAAATCTCTCAACCTTCTAATGCAGGGGTGGGTATGAAAATTGTATGGCAGGCCATGATTGCTCACGAAATTGGGGGTTAGGGTGCAGGAAGGGATGAGGGCTCCAACTGGGGGTGAGGGTTGGGTGTGCAGGAAAGTGCTCCGGGCTGAGACTGAGGGATTCGGAGGGCAGGAGGGGGATCAGGGCTGGGGCAGGGGATTGGGGCACGGGAGGGAGTCAGGGGTGCAGAATCTGGGCGGTGCTTACCTCAAGCAGCTCCCAGAAGCAGCGGCATGTACCCCCTCTGGCTGCTACATGGAGGTGCAGCCAGGCGGCTCTGCACACTGCCCTGTCCACAGGTGCCATCCCTGCAGCTCCCACTGGCAGCGGTTCCTGGCCAATGTGAGCTATGGGGGTGGCACTTGGGGCG